TCTGAAAGGCTAGAAACTGTTGTGCAGTGGCTGAGCCATCTTACATCCCCACTAACTGTAGGAGGACATCAACTTCTCCACATCCCCACCAGCATTATTTCCCATTGTTGTGGTTATCATTACCATGGTAGTAGTGGGGGCTTTATCTACGTTCCCCTAAGGACTAGCGATGAACAGTGAATATCTTTTCATGGATTATTGGCCCTTCTTTGGAGAAACGTTATTTCGAGTCTGCCTTTTTGTTGTTGAACTGTAAGTATTTTTTACATATTCTGGACACTAGATTCATCGTACATTTGATTTGCAGGTCCCGCCTTTTTTGTAGTCTTTTCATTTCACATATTGATTCTGTCTGTGCTACCCTTTTATGTGAAGGCAATATTAAAAGTCCCAGATCATTTTTTCTTTTTCTTTTTACGGTTCTGGGGAAAAAAAGCCAGGCTGTCATGCTAGATAGTTATTAACTCCATATTTGCAAAAAGAAAACACAACAATGTAAACATCAAAACAGAGGTTAGGTAAAGCAATGGGGCATGATGTAGGGATGGGAGAAAGGGAATAATGTCAAATGTTTTGTTTCTCCCTTTAAAATAAAAAAGTAATGGTAGATGAGAAGAAAAAAAAATTAAAATATGGAAATTATTTTTCTGGAATTAAGTACATTGGTTACAGAAAAAAATTAAGGATCATGAAAGACAATGAAAAGATTTAAAGCAATAAGAATATTTTTCCCAAATATTTATAACTACTTTTATTTCAGATGGGTTTGATCATGAGACAAACATAAAAGGAACATAAATTAACATATTTGCTTGAGTTTGAGATCTTGGTTGGCAACACAGATACGTGAACTTAACTTTTGATGAGCTGAATGTGAATTTTCAATGCTTCTCTTACAAAAAAGGGGCAGTGTGAGTGAACCTAGTGAGAACCCCTCTCCCTGCAGACTGCTGTGGGTGTGCAGATGGTAAGAACCTTCTGGTCTTGCTGAAACTTGCAGAAAAGCACGAGAGAGCGTGCAGCTTTCAGAAGCACCAGCCAAATGAAATATGATTACCACCATCTGATCTGCATCAGCTCCAGTTAGCGAAGCTACAGCTAATCATTTATTTAGATACACGGTTTTTGACCTGTACAAGGGAAGATGTCAAAAGTTTGATTTTAAATCAATTTGACTTTACATGCACTTCTTGAAAGGCAAAATAACCTGAAAATGTATTTTTAATGTGTATAGAATTCTCCCTTTCAAAAGAGAGGGGGCACTCTTTCTTATGTGTTTAAATATATTTTGGCAGGCTGCCTGACATTTAGTTTTGATTATAATATAATAAATTACTATTGCTACTACCTATGTGACCTGTATGTTATGATTACTATAGCTTCTTAGAAGAGACTAATAAAATCATTTAAGCTGTCTGTTCAGAACAGTGAAAACATTTATTTCCTCTGGAAAGAACAAGATCATTTTACTATCTCTCAGTAACACCTCCTAGAGACAGGTTCATTAAGTAATCAACAACATATTTTCTAAACGTTCCGTATAATATACTAGATACTGAAAGAAAAAATAAAAGTAAGTCAGAGAAGAGACAGAGGGAACTTTCAGCATCGAAGACAATTCACTGTTTCAGGCCTCTCCTTAACTTTTAGGGAATAAAGGACACACAACAATAAAAAAAAGGACGGGTTTACTCATAGTTCTACACTTCCAACTTTACCAGTTATGGACTAAATTGTAGACTATTTGGGGAAAGTATGGCATTTACACAGCAGGGGTACCAGGTCATCCAATCAACTCCAACATGAAAAGCTCAGCAGTGTCTTTCTTTGTAAATAAACCAACAAATTGTGAGTGCTTTGGATAAGTGGGTAGTGGAGGGGGGCTTTCAAATAGGTACTGTCTACACTAAGTATAAATGTCTTGCATCAATTCCTTAAAGGAAAATATTTAAAGTTTTAACCCTCCGAATACCATCTAAATCAACTTATGCTGCCATAGGAAAATGGTACCGAATCACCCAGTGCCTGGTGGGCAGCTACCCCAGGGCTCCCTGCAGTGGACCTCATGGTGTCCAGCCGGGGTGGGCCGACTTTAGAGTCCAGAAGAGTTGCCCTCAGCCCGGGCAATCTGACACGCTGTGCATGTGGATGAGAAAACGATTCTCACCGGTTCACCGAGGACAGTAATTATGTCTTCATTACAGGGCTGCTGCGAGGATTAAAGGAAACTATGCCTGCGAAACTCCTGGCGCCGAGCAGGAAGCCCTCAATAAATGTTACTTCACAGTGTCCTCTAAGAAGAGGATTCAGATCCAAAACTCTGAGCCTCTCCATGGCTTCGTGTGAAGCACCAGTTCTCCGATGGTTTTTCCTGGGCTCTCATGGACCCTAACCCCAGATTACAGACTTGAATTGGCCCTGTGCATCACCACTGACTGCCTGGCATACGCTTCTGCTGTCTTTGCTTATTCAATTCTTGTCTTCCTAATCTCCATGTTTTACCGCAGACACTTCGGGTTCTGTTTGAAGGAAATGGCCATAATGTCTGGCCTGTTCGGTGAGTCCCCAGTCCTGAACGCAGCACACCGTACACTGTCAGCGCTTGGCATGTATTTGGAGAATGAACGATTCATTGATGTTGACATTTTGTTAATTTATTAGCTTAAGAGAAGCTGGTGAAAGGTGCCTTTAAAATACATAATTTTATATAGCTGAAAATACAAAACAAAAATCCTGCAAGAAAATAAACTTGTAGTACTTGGAGACAGGTAAAATGAAAAGAACGAGGCGTTTATTCGGGAGGTGGGGGCAGGGTTGAGCTGCCTTTTCCTTTGCAGCGCTAAGCATGGGACCCAGAGCCTTGGGATTGTAGGCAGTTGCTCTACGACTGGGCTACATCCCCAGCTATTGGAGTAGCGATTTGATTTTGTGCGGGTGAGTGGAAGGCTAATACTGGAGGACTCCCTTTAAGTGCGTAAGTACCGGGGCTGGGGATTTAGCTCAGCTGCAAAGCGCAAGGTCGTGAGTTCGGTTCCCCGTACTGGAGAAAAACCAAAAACCAAAATAAATAAATAAATAAATAAAAGCAATTTAGGGGCTGGGGGTTTAGCTCAGCGGCAAAAGCTCCTGCCTGGCAAGCGCAAGGTCCTGAGTTCGGTTCCCGGTACCGGAGGGGGGGGGGAAAGTGCGTAAGTACCGTGTGTGTGTGTGTGTGTGTGGTGGCTTTGGGGGATATCTTTGTTCTGCTTTTTGTACTAGTGGCTGAACCTAGGGCGTCTTCCTCCCCGTTTGAGACAGGGTTTCACCAAGTTCTTCAGCCGCATTTGCGATCCTCTTGCCTCAGTCCCCCAGAATACTGGGACGCCAGCTGCCACCACGCCCAGCTCCCGATGGGTGCTTGAAGCAGAGTCTTCGTTGTGAATAACGTTGATTCGGGCTCTACGATTGTGGCCACTGGACTCCAAGGGCGCATCACACCTATGCTCCACTTCATAGATAAACAGAGCAGCAACAGCAACACCGAGCGGTGCCTGTAGACCTGGGCCTAGAATTCGGATCCACCGCCTTTTGGAGCCCCTGGGAAGAGTCACTAGTTCGTTCAAAAATACTCGCTGCTGCTTTAGTAACATCGGCCTCTGTCCTTCCAGCTTCCACTAGAGAAAAGCTATTCATTTCTCCTTCAGCCAAGCTGGATCGCCGCGGTGTCTGGACCTCAGCACGGCAAAGCCACGGAAGCTAAGTGTTGGAGGAGACACCACACTGTTAGAATCCCATGAGTCGCCCCACCCAAGTACAGGAAAAGCTTGACCCGTCAGGCAGGCAGGCAGTGGCGAAGTCTGCGATGCCCCTGCTGACCTCGCCCAGCAGGCCATGTGGCCGAAGCCCTGCCCAGCAGCACAGGTGTGGCAAGCGCAGCCCCCGGCCCCTGGGTTTCTCCTCCCCGGCCGGGCCCCCCCGCGCGGCCGGGCCTCCAGCGGCTGGAAGCGGAGCGACTCCATCTGCGAAATGGAAAAGCCCTTGGAACCCTTTGGGAAGTTTGGAGACTCAAACCCCTTTAGTC